AGGAGAACTCGGGACTGGCAGTGCCTGGTGTGCAATGGCGGGTGACCACATAATCCATTCCTGGGCTAAGAAGCTCCATCCCAGTAACTCGGTGTTTCAGGCAGAACTTACAGCCCTAAAGGCAGCTCTGGACTTTTTACTGCTAACAATAGCAGGTATAAAGTAATTTACACAGACTCAATGTCAAAGCTTGCAGGCCAACGAAGGCGGCCGCAGTAGACATCCCATTGTCAGAGACATACAAAAACTATTAATTTCAATTTCCTGCAAGTCTGAGGCTCCAGCTACAAGTGGGTTCCAGCCCATACGGCGATTAAAGGAAATGAAGCAGCGGATATAATTGCGAAGGGCGCAGCCAATGAACCCCACGTGAGTAGCATTGGTGGTGTGCCCCTTCCGCCACTCGTATCTGAAAAACTACTCTCAAATGTGAAAACTAATGAAGCAGTGGCCAAAACTACTGGGAGACAAGCACCACAGGCAGAAGACTATATGATTTCCAACCAAAAGTTAACCACCAATTTAAATAGCAGTTCTTCGCACCTCACACAGTATTGACAGGGCATGGCCCTATATGTCCTATCTTCACAGATTTCGCCTAAGAGAGAGTGACCAAGTATTTGTGGCATACTAGTGACCCAGATCACTATCTATTTGACTGCTCGCACGGAAAAATTCACATTTGAAAAGACCATCTGCAATCAATATGCCAGCATGGTACAAGAACACAATTAAGAATAAATATGGATCAGCCGCATTTAGAGACTGCACTACCATTGTAAAGCATTGCTGACAATCTGGAGTGACTTCTTTCTTGGAACCATGCCAGCATCCTGCTCTGTACATATATTAATTTACTTAATGTCTTGTGTTTTTTTTTGTTTGTTTGGCTGTTTTAATATTTAATATTATGACTAATCCAGAACTCATTTAATGTATTCCACAATTTGTAATGTATTTGGTCATCTTTACATCTGTACCTGATTTTATAGCATTAATATAATGTATGCCTAACATGTACGATAATAGTGAAATGTGTTCCGCTTAGTCTCAGCAGTCCCCACCATGCACCTTCTTTCCATGTTCTGGTCTTCACTTCAATGTTCCTCGTTTCGTGGCCAATCCCCGGAGGACACAGTACTAAGCTCTTTATTTATATTTATTCATGTATTTTTAAAATTCCATCAACGGGATCCAACAGGCTGAAAAGTACCTAACCCAGTGGGCCAGCTGTTCTGTCGATGGTGAAAAGAAAGTGTCATATTACTGATATCGTATTAATGCCTGTGATTGGCTCATACCTTTGAGATCTCAGTTGCCTTATATTTCAACAGGACAGTACGAGACCACGTTATCTTAGGTTTTCTCAGGATACAGGGTGTTCAACTCCTGCCTTTTATCATGCATTCTCAAGATTTGTGACCAACTGAAACCGGTGTTAAATGCTGCAGAGGGACTGGTACAGCAACACGTACGGACTGGTATGGCAACATACACGGTACACCAGTGTGTCTAATACACTCTGATACAAATCCATAATTGCCATCCGAAGATCTTTGACTCCATACCCATACTATAAGAAATAGTTTCTACTGTTTCCAGAAACTGAGGATTCAGCTAACAGTATGTATGTAGATTCTGTGTCTCAAAGTTAGTTCTAATTGTAATAATTTTAATTAATAATGAAAATTTTAATATTTCATCTTCCCATTTAATATATTTAAAAAATAAATATGATTCTGCTAGGTTCATTAATTCCTTCATAGAGAAGAAGCTTTAACAGCTAGCAGTTATTCCATGCCCTGAACGATAAAAAATGGATGATTTCTCAAATTCGATCAAATACATTTAGTACAAATGGAGAAACCAGCTAAATAAGCAACTGTAAATTTAAAAACCATTTGTTAATATAACTGAAACAAAACTCTTGAATTATGACGTCTAGTTTTGATAAAAATATTTCCATTATGCCATAGCCTTCAAAAAGCATAATTTAACATGCACTTGTCTGGTCATTGATTTTATAAGTTTGTCCTTTCTGTATTCTAATTGCATCGAATAACTTCAAAAATTTTAATAAATGATGTTTAATGTAAATGCAGTTTCATTAATTTCAAAAATGTAGAATTTTTAATATGCAATATAAGGAAACTGAATCGGTACAGTTCATTTTCTCATATATTAAGATTTACGTTCATTGGAAGTTATTATAATTTTTTTTAATTCTCCGTTTTTACTAGAAGAATGATTGGGTTATTTCTTTACAATATGAAGATGTTACTTAATGCGTGTATATTGCAGTAAAAGTTATTAATACGATCTTTAACTTCCGATACACGTGGTAAATTTTGTCATAGTTATCAAATTTATAAACTTAATTTTGGAATTGTTTAAAAACTCTGGCAAAATTGAAAAATCTAAATAAAATAAATTAAACTGACCTAGATAATTGATGATTATGCATAATCCCCAGATTAATCACTTTTGCTATAACACATATATTAGTTAGGAAATAATTTTCTAGATTCGTGGGATATCTTTCCTATGTAGTCCTTAGTCATATTTTGCGTTAATGTTTCAATCAGGAAAGATATAGAAATCTGAAAATCAATTTTCAAACATATTATTGTTTATTGATATGATGGGTTTCAAAGCACTTTTAGAACGTATTTTCCAGGAGAGCAATAAGCAGTAATGAATTAAAAATTTCCCCTTATATTTGAGATGCCTTAATTAACATTTCGGTTACATTTATGTATTTTAGACATATGGATTGGATTGGATTATTTAATTATGGCAAAGCACACAAGGGCTATCTGCCTAAAGGGAGGGATGCCTTCGTGGAGGTCTTTCTAAGGGAAACTGGCTCGTATACACGTTACACATGGAGAAAACCACGAAAACGCTCATACAGCCAGCCAGTTCGCGGGATTCGAACCGCGGACCGAACTACCAATGTTCAGCATCTTTACCGCTCGGCCGCTGGTGGGCCTTTAGACATATGGAAAGTTTCATTTATTTGCCTTCCGATGTAAGTTCAACATGTAAAAATAATGTAAACTGAGTTATACACCTGCTCACTATGGCAAGATTTAGCAGCATTGCGCATATGCAGGAAGAGTTTTGGGAGACAAGGGTACATATTAACGATTGCAGGTAAAAAATGTTTTAAGTTAAATAGAAATGAATTATAATAAGTTTGTTCGTGATGAGCTGACAACTAGTATTCTATTTTCTTCTCACCTTTAAGCAAGAGTTACTTGCTAAATGTATATAAATAAACACGTATATACTTACACTTATGTGTTCTTCATATCTTCTTGTATGGTCTGCAATAAAATGCACGGATTCCATAGCTCTCTGAAATTCTGGACAAAAATGCAAGCGCATTGTGATCCCAGGGGGTGGACTTGTGTCTGCATTATGCATCGACGAAGAACTACCATCGTCATCCGTTGTAGGCACATCACTCGGCCCTTTACCAGAATAACCATGGATACGACATGCACCGTACTGAGAGGACTGGGGCACTTGCTCTGCAAATTCTACGTCGTAACTGGTTCTGCGGGGCATGGACTGACTTTCTCCTCCGCTGCAAGGCCGAGTCATAAATTTCCTGGGATCGGCAGAATATAAAGGCCGGCGCATCAAGAGGAGGCGGGGCAAGATCTGCAGGAAGACACGTTTAACCCAGGGCGCCATTTTGTGAGTAGATGATGTCCGGAAGTGAACGTTGAGCACCACAACGGTCACACAGATGGACAGTGTAACCAGGATCATAGTAAAAAGTAGGTATTTTCCGAGCAGAGGCACCACCAAAGATGTAGGGGGAATGATTTCAGCTAGAAGCAGGAAGAAAACAGTGAGGGAGAGTAGTATAGAAATGCTAAGTGTCACTTTCTCTCCGCTGTCTGATGGCAAGTAGAAGACAAGGACAGTGAGGAAAGATATGCCCATACATGGAATTATGAGGTTCACTGTATAGAAGAGGGTTTTCCTGCGCATACTAATATTGAATGTTATGTCCACGTATGGTTCTTCGCAGCAGGTGTAATATTTCTCATGGCGAACGGCAGGAACTTCTAGAATGTCCCATTCGACGCTGAGGTAGAATTCTGTAAGGTCTATTCCAATTTCGACTAGGTTGGTCCCTTTTACTTCATCTTTGTGACGAAGATCAACCTGAAACATTTCACCAAATAATTAGGATACTTATATTTTCTCTGAAAATTTGATAATCAATTATGAAATTTAAGCATAGCTATTTTAACCAAAGAACCCCTTAGAGTTAAAATATGTTATTTGAAAAACATTTCTTTTCTCATTTCATAAAAGCTGGAAAAATGTAGCTATTGCATTTCATTTTAAGCTAAATAAATAAATAACCCGATCCCAAGAAATGTTCACGTGAAGACGCTGAACAACTAGAGATCATAAAAGTTTTTTATCGTATACTCAGTGCGCAAGAAATTGGTAATCTGTTTACTTAGATACTAAGAATGAGGCTCTATCAGAAGCTGAAGAGATAAAAATGCTGAACTCTGATATTTAGAACCAGGTGCGAATTTAAGGAAAGATGTCTCTTATTTCTTATGGGTGTTTTCGTGCTTTTCCCCATACGCAGCTACCTACCAACTGCATACTAACTGGTAAGGTTAGTGAACTTTCGTAGTTCAGCCTGGGTTCGAGTCTGAGCAAGCAGATTGCCTGAATTTATGTTTTTGTGCTTTTCTCCACGTGTAAAGCGAATGCGAGCTAATTTGAAACGAAAATCTGTCAGAAAGGCATTCTGTCCTTCAAACAGATAGCTCGCGCTTCCTTTCTCGTGGTCAAATAAAGAGACAAAAAATAGGGCAACATTAATACGAGGCAGTTTTGAAGTCCTTTTTGAAAGCCCGAAAAAATCTCTACATTCAGGTACACAATTTTTGAGTGCTTTGCCGAAATCAATTAAGCAAGAAACAAAAGCAACTAAGAAAGAATTTGCAGAATTTTATCTAATATGTTTTCCATACAGTAATTTCTTTTGCTGCTGTAGTAAATGTACTGCATAATATAGACTACGTTTAGCGTTAAGTAACTGCGTACTTTTACAACTGTAAAGTTACGTTTTGAATATTTACAAGCTTTTTAAGTACGAATGATGAAAATTTAACCAATCATTAATTATTTGGTTACAAATTCATACTAGAGTTTGTTGATTATTTTATGACAATTTTATATTATTTTTTAATTATTTAATAACAATTTCATATTATACTTATCAATATAGTAATGCTTATCGCTGATTATAATTATGTTTGACAATTCTCAGATAACGTCAACTACCCTGTTTGCCTTGTTAAGACAAAGTTGTATTTATCCTAATTGCATATTCATTGCAGTCATGTTATGAGCAGTTGCTAGTTATTCTGTCTCACAGAAACTTTAAAATTTTTTATTCAGAAATAACATAGTGACTCACAAGAAATGAAGTATAATAAGAAATTCAATCACTAATTGAGCCTTTAAAATTTTTCTAATTATTTATAATTTCTTTGATAATTTTATATATTGAATAGTTTGCTTTAGAAATGCTGCTACAGTTTCATATTAAATGTTTTTAATTTATTGCTTTAAAAATGCAACAGAAAGAAAAGTCAGAAAACTTTTAAATTTCAAACGTTACAAGGTAATCTAGAATTAACTCAGTAAGATTTAAATTTCAGTTGAAAACCGTGAGGGAAATGGTATATCCATTTTAACTGACAAAACTCAAGTGATCAGCAACATCGACGGTTATACAAATACTTCCTGACTCAGAAGCTCGAATTAGGAATTGTCTGACTTAACGTATCAAACTTTATTATTTGTGTAAGGAATAATACTTGATTCTATTAATTAATTCTACCAAAATACTTGAGTATTGCTTATTATTATCACCAAGAAAGGTATTTGAATATCGGTAAGAGAAGCCAAAGGCCGCTTTTGCCTGGTTTACGACGCCCGGTTTCAAGGCAGTGGACTCCTCATTCAATATCCAAAGTCCTTTACCACTTTCAAGGACACTGAGTCCAAATACCGCCGCATTTCTACCTGTGCTAATAGATAAGGAATAAACAGTAATAATAGATAACAAGAAACAACAATAAAAGGAGAGCTAAGGGCTATAGCCGCCTCTTTTTCAAACGATGTGCGCAATGAAGAAATAGTTCTCTTTCTCTCAAACTGGGGTTCCATTTGCTGAACGAACCTGTACTTTTTATGTAACGAATATAACTGCATTAATTATGCATTGTAGTTGTTAGGAAGGTTTATGTTCTGACTGTGGTTGCCATGAGAAGTTTTTGATGTACCAAGGGGGGTTAAGAACTGAAAACATCGATGTACCGCTAGGTTAACCGGTTAACATTTAAAATTTAAATTAATTATATTAAGCTAAACTCCAAAAACATTTGGTTACCGCTGGGTTAAGTGGATAATATCTAAAATTAAAAAAAAATACGCTAAGACAAACTGCTGTGGTAAATTTAGTATAATCAGAAAAAAAAAAAGGTTTAAGAGAAAATATAAGAAAAATACAGTTGAAAATTGAGTTCCGGTTTCCTTTCACCCAGACTATTTGCTACTAGTACTATTAAAGAATGATACTAATAGCGTCAGCTTTTTCCATGGCTGTTTCATCTTCTTGTCATCAACTTTTGACTTCAAAATGCTCCTCCTTCTAATAGAGCATTTAGTAGTTTTGCTGATCTATGATTTTGGACGATTTCTTTACCGAAAATCTAAAAGATATATTTTATGCTTTTGTGACAATCGAAAACTAATTTATAATGTTAATGTTTGGAGTTTTGAAATGTGCAGCAGATATATTTACCCGTACATTGTCTAGTCAAAGATGACTTTAATCTGATGATTAAATTGGTCAATTTATGTGATAACTGATTTTTTTAAAAATTTAGTAAACCCCATTCCATCCATAAAAAGTCTGAAATTTCTAATTAAATGCCAAGTTTTGTACAGTGCCTCTACGCTGAGGGGAATATTCTTTTAAGTGACTTTCTTTAAGCAGAAAGCTACTTATGAACCCCTGCTTTGTAGAAATCGAGATCATCTAATTATCAAAACAAACAAAAAATATAATTTAAACGACAATTTCGATGTATAATAGGCTCTTCTATGCTTTTCATTTGCTTCTTTGCAACTGGAGGGAAACATAATCACGTCAGAAATATACTTCACATTAGATTAAGCACATAGTACACCACTTAATGAAATCAGAATAAAAATAGCTTAGTCTTTGAAAATATTTAGGAAGAAGAGTTTAGTTTAAATGCTCATGAATCGGGAATTTTGGGTAGCTGTAGGCCAAGTGAGTAAATTCTGGCCAGTTTTAGGAGTTAATATCGAATATAAGTTAAGCATTAGTGAGTGTTTAATTTAAATTAAGATTGTGACACTGCTCATAAGCATTTAGTTCAAAACTTACCTTTTGTTCAATTGTATCAATAACTGAGATCTTTTCCGTAAGATAAGATAGAGATAAGTTTTTTAAAACCATAAGAGCTATTTTCCTTTGATTAATTATTCTTATAAACAAAGTGAAAATGTTTAAATGTTTTCTCTTGACAATTCTTTGTAAACAAGGTCACCGGTGCACCGGAAATAAGAACGGCACATTAAATTTTAAATAACCAGTAGGCAACGGTATTAAGTAAAGTCTGTAAAGTCATTTTCTCGAAAAAACATTCTGAAATTATTTGGCGCTTTTATTTTAATATAAAGGTAAACATCCAATGAGTGTACAGAATATCTATCATTCCTTTTGCTTTCTGGCTGATCTGACTGTAAAACTCAACTAAGAGTGAAATTTGGTTCAATCTTTTATTTTTGAAAGTAGTCTGTTAATTTCTATTTGTGAACTATTTACAAAAGTTTAACTGAAGTTACGAAATAAACTTTTTGTCGCTAATGTGCCACTTAGGTTTCAGGAGTGTCAGGGAAAAGTTTTCCAGTGAAATTATCTAAAGTAAATTAAGTGTAGATTAGAATCGTAATGAATATGTTACAATAAATACACGAAGTCCATTAATACACAAACTTACAAGTAAAAATGCGAATTTTCCATGAGCATTCGCTAATTCGAATTCTTATTATCACTATCTAAGTGTCCTTAATATTTTACGAAAGATACCATATAAAAATATAAAGCCGCTTATGTTTCTCTATGTAAATGGGCTAAATAATGCAGATGACAAAAATAAGCTTTTCTACAATTCAAAAAGACTATAGGCTATGTAATAAAAGGCATATTTTGCTACTCTTATTTTCTGAAATTAAAATAAAGAAATTACTTTGTCTGAGATAGAATTTTACTTTTTTTGAAAATAAAATTCTTTAAAATCTTATATTATTTAAACTGTACTTTATTTAAAATTACTTTTATTCTTTTTTTAGCGTAACATGTGACTATTTGGATTTAGATATCCACAGAAAGAACCAGTGTTGACTCAGAAATTTGGAGCGACTCGGTGTAATTATTCAGCTTTCAACATAAAAACTGGTCCAAATATCAGCTACAGAAGGAAAATGTCCTTTCAGTCTTTGAGGCGTAATATTTGGCTTTTAGACTGCAGACGTCAATCCCCGACAGGTCATTTAACACTTTCAAGGCAAGAGAAATAGTAGCGAAATTGCTACCACCACAAAAATATGGAACCGTGAGGCAGAATAAGTGTGTTAACGCTGTGTCCAGCACAATTAAAAAAAAGCGAAATATTAAAATTTTTATTGGATAATGCATTTTAGATGTTAGTAGTCAAAATCGGAATTTACTAATTAATCTGAGCTCTGGGTTTTCTCGCTCAGTTCTAATAGATTGCAGACATTTACAATAATGGATATACTTTTTATAGTGTATATTTTAAAAATATTTAGTACATATTTTTTCTCCCCAAATCCTTCATACAGAAGTACAAAATTTTATTTCTATTCTATTTCGTACAACAAAAAAATACATGTCAAACATTAACCCTTTATATGGCCTAGGTATGGCACAGGCTCAAGCTTTAAATGCATAATGTTCCTTTATATCCAACATAATTGCTTAATGAAATTATACTTTGCCCCCAAAAATCTATGCGAGCTATTTTTAGTTTTGAATAAAGTTTGGAAGTAAAGCAAAAAAAGAAAAAAAAAGATTT